TTGCTCGTAAACTCTTTTACGGCACGAGATTTTAAAGTTTATTGTAACTTTTTCATTAAAACTTTCATTGCATTCTTCAACTTTAAATAAAAATACAATGTGGTAATTGATGTGTAATTTTTAATTTCTATGATTATTCTCGACATTTTGCTGCAAGGATTACCAAATGGTAAGTATGTAGCATAGAGTATCACTAGATAGATTTAAGTAAGCAGTAAAGATGAAAATGCTTACAAAGGTACTCGTCATGTCACTCAATCTTCGCAACGAGGATTTAAATTAATGAATTTAGGGGTCATTCCCACTGCCGTATAAAGGGTTAAAGAAGTTTAGGGTAATTATGGAATAAGCTTGTACCACCGATTGTTCAGCACTGACACCCCCGCGGAGACGTTAACCCTCTGAAGGTCAATCTTAATGTGAATGGACTAAGTTAATACTAATTACTAAAACAGCCTTTAGTCTGGAATTAAGTTTGTGTTATTTTCAGTAATGTTATTGAAAGAAGGTACAGATACTAAGGCTGAAATGTTACTTTATGACCGATGTTGAGGAATATTAATCTGAGTTATACAATGACTCAAATGATATTCGGAGTAAAAACTTCTGCTCGAATGAGTGGATTATCATGCCCATAAAGTCTTAATTCAAAGAATTAATGTAAAATATGATTATGTTTGGGAGTCTGACACAAATTTACTTTCTTTTGAAAAGTTTTTGACTTAGCTTGACAATATGGAAGCTGGAAAACATGGGGCCTAATAGATCAGTAAGAATTGTAGCTAGTTCGGGACCCCTTGATGTTAGTTTCTTGTATTTTACTTAATTTTTTAGGAGAATCTAAAACTTCTATACAAAATTATAAATTTTGCAAATTTTAAGATTTAGAGAATTTAATAAGTACATATTTTTAAATTTTAAATTAGCATTTAAAGACAAAATTCGCAATTTGAACTAAATCTGTGGAAAAAGTTTGAATTATAACATTTTAGTCTTAAATTTTCATTTCTCAATTCCGACTATATTCGAAGTAAAATTTCGTGTTTTGACGTAAGAAATTAGTTTAAAATTACATAATCATTGGTATCTTTTATTACTGAATTTTTTAAACTATTAAATGAAATTTTTTAAGATTTAAATATCCTTGTAGGAACGAACTTTATAGTAGTGTGTAAATTTCAAAATGTAACGAAATTCGAAATTTAATGCAAAAAGAGAAATTATATTTTAGGATCTCCAACTATCATCTTCTCTGACGAAACTGGGGCCATTTTTTTTCCAAATCGCTGCTATCTTCCATGTTTTGATGCTCAAAAATTTAAATCTGTCGAACACTGTTATTCAAAGAGTTGTCTAATTTCTTAGAGTAAATTATCGTCTGCAATAAAAAGCATATTTGTAGTTTCCCCTTAATGAATCGTTCAAGATTTCATTTGATGAAAAAACAACTTCAAAAATTAGGGGGGGGTGGAAGTAGATTTTTTCAAGCTCTCAAAAATAGGCCCCCATTTTCAAGAAACATTCACGAAACATAAGAGATGAAACATAAACATTCCAGTCTGACAAGTCTGAGAAATGGGTGCCTGTATTTGAGCGAATGTAAGGTGCCTGCTGTTTTTCCTATTTTGGAAGTGAATTTCTAATAGAATAATATATTACCACTATAATTCCAAGAAACTGAAATGATTCTCTAGCTCAGTATTTCCCAAACTTATGACTTTTGTGTACCCTTTCTAAATTTTTCGTGACGCTGCGTACCGCTAATAAAAATGAATGCATTTTTTACTATAAAAAAATTACAAAAGTTAAAATCACAACTGGCTGACACCACTAATTAACTCCGCAAAAAAAAATAGCGAATAGAGAAATACGTAATCGTAAATTTTCATGGCTAACTTTGTTTTTAAATAACATTTTTGAAATTTTCGTTTGTTGCAAGATATTTCGCATAAGAACGGGTACCCCCACTAATCTGTTCCCGTACCCCAGGGGGTACGCGTACCACGCTTTGAGAAACACTGCTCTAGCTAATCACTTCAGTTTCTTGGAATTTAACATTTGGATTTTAACTTAGTAGGTGAAAATCCGATCATTAGAAGTTTTTCAAGGCTATATTTTTTCAGCTATACTCATAGTGCTAAAACTCTATCCCACTCAAAATAAGTAAACGGTTAAACGTTATTTTATAAAAATATTTACTTTTGAAACTACTATCAATGAGTGACACTTCCTGTACCTTGTTAACCGGAAACTTCACTTTAAAATTGCAAAAATCAATCTCTAAATTTAGCTTAGCACTAAATTAATTTGACTGGAAAACGTCTAGTTAATCACTTAGATAATTTTGGGTTCAATAACGCACTAGTTATAACATAGCATGTAGAAGAAAATGGCACAGACTATGTGGCACATTAATGATTTTTATTGCAGAACTAAGTTGTTACTTTAAATCAGCTTGTCTGATTCAAATGTTCCAAAAACTCATTAAGAATGAGTTTTGATAGCTTACATTATCCTGCATTAAAAATGGAAGATATACTGCACAAAGTTTCAGTGGCTCAAAGGAATGGTGTTAGCCTTCTGTTAATCAGAAAACTGGTCCAATCCCACATCTGATATTTTTAATAGTGGGTTTTAAATTTTATTCTTGTAGTATATTAAATAAAAACCTGGATTTATACAAATTTAATGTGGTAAAAAAAAAACCTCCTAGCTCCCTACGTGATCTGTAATAAATCTAATGTCTTGGTGCTGATTAAACAAAACTAGATACAATAAACTATTTTCAAACTTCAGAGCCTCCAAAATATGCAAATTACTGTATGTAAATACTTCGTCAGCAAAATAAATCAAAACCCCCTCCTATAGTTCTCAGAAGGTTGAAACTACTAGATTTTGTTAACTTTAGCTTGGTCTTTCACTATAGTAATCGAATTTTAAGAATAAATTTAAATAAGAAATTTTGTCTGAAACAAAGTTTTACGTTTTAATTTTAGAAAATTTTTAGTAGAACAGTATTTAAAAAGAATCCCTTGTTTTCCTTGTTCTAAAACTATTTACCTCTGGAACTAATTTTCCACGAAACTTAATTTTTCTTAAGAGTTTGTAAAATAAGACTTAATTTACGCAAGCAACACTATTGCCCTGATCTCTTGTCAGAAAATCTTAAGCCCTTCCCCTCAGTCAAGTGAAAGCTTTTGAAGCAGTTTAGAGTGGTTAAAAAGCCATGAATACAAAACTATATGGTTTTGAACCGTTAACCAGCATGAATTCTAAACCATAAGTACTTAACTGGGCATTGGAGCTTGCCTTTTCGCTAGGAAATGGCCCTAGAGTTAGGTTGTGGCTGTGCTGTGTTTTATCAAATGAACCGTAGAATGTGGTTCAGTTTCTGGTTTCACCCATCATAAAAGATGGGAAGAACTAGACTTATTCAAACAGCTAAATAGCCATAAAAAATGGTAAAAACAAATTAAACCTTTTTTCAAGAAATTTCTTAGTGTAGATTAACTTGAACTACTCTAAACTTTAAATTTTAAAATATCAATGGCGGTGAAGCAATATTACTATGTGTTTCTCCCGCTCTATAGTCCACTTAAGCTATAATAATCGTGGTTTTTTTAAGTACTTGTATAGGTACTTTTATCATTTAATTTTTAAAAAAATTTAATTTGGTTTAAATTTTGCTACGATTTTAATTCCTAAATAGCAAATTATAACAAGATTGATTTTTATTACTAAATATATATTTCAAATGGTACTTTCTTAGAATTTAACTAAGTGTTCACTATTGATCACTTTCTCAGAATTGTTATTAAACTTATCGTTGAAATGTACTTATCTATAGATAGGAATATTTATTAATTGTAAAGTATCAAACGTTTCCAGGACAACTATAGACTTAAAGGATACATAAACTAACAAAATGGTTGCTTAGACAACAGACAAGTTTTTCCGGATATCGAATAAAGCGTTTACTGAAAGTTTTGTTTTTAAAATTATAAGTAGTTCAACGAAAACAAGTTGACAAATGATGTATTACTTTGTCATAATGAAGTTCAATAACCTTAACCTCTAATCTGTTTCATAACCACTAGATTTAAATGGTGTTTGCTTCAGTGTTAAGAGTTAACCCTTTATCGTAGCTTAGTTTTTAAAATTTACTTTTGAAAATTAAAATTTTCTGACTTACATTAAACGCTATTAAGAATAGTTAGTTTTTAATTTTAAAATGGATCCCATAAAGTTTTTGAAACTAAGGAATTTTCCGAACTACATCAAATTTTACATGTGATAGAACATCACTCCTTTTAAACTATTGGCTTAAATGCTATCACTTATTTTAAAAGTTAAGGAATTCGTAATTTTGTCTTTTTTTTTTCACTTGCAGTAAAATAGGGTATGATTTATTTTCAGGTTTTTACTTATTTTATAAAAACTACTGTAGATATTGAATAATGTAAAGCTAAAAGTAAATTTTAAGAATATTACATTTTGGAAATGTTTTATAATTTAGAACATTATTTTATATCATCAACCATAAACATTAAATCAGGTCTAAGTTTCCTTCCCGGTTATTAGTTAACATAAATATCAAATATTCTTAGCACCTACTGAATTTCCGTAGTTAATTTTTAAGTGGTAGGAATGTATTAACGTTTTAATAAGTTAGAATTGAAATAATCTTGCCCATCCCTACATTTAAATTTAAACGAATGTGTATGAGTTTAGACGAATGGTCAAGTTTTAACTTTCTTCTTTAGTTTTCCACCGCAAGAAATATTTAAACTTATTACACATGGGTGAGCAAGTTTAAGTCTCAAAACTAATGCATAGATGTACTTTGTTTTTTTTTTCCATTTTATATTAGTTGAGGAGCTTGTATTGACACTGATAGAGTACCAAAGAACTAATTTCTAAGTGTCTAAGTTAATGTGGCCCAAGAGTATGTTTAAAAATTTTATTGGTTCGAATGCTTATTGTCTTAATTCCATTTTCAGAAAAGTCTGCTGCAGCACTTGAAGATGTCATAAGTGGTACAGATTCCTCCGAAAAAGCAGAACCCAAAGAAGAGTCTGAACCTCCTAAGGCTGCGGAAACCATTCCAGAAGAAAGCGAGGAAGAAAAAGGTGAATCTGAAGTTAAAGAAGCAGACTCAAAATCAGTAGAGGCCGAACAAAGCGAAGAGCCTGCTGTCACACCTCCAGAAGAAAGTACTCCCGAAGTGACGAATGAAACAGCTGAAGAAAAGACAGAAGAAAAGCCAGAAGAATCTAGTCTTGTTGAGTCAGAAGAAAAGGTTGAAAGTAACGAAGAGGTAGAACAATCACCTGAAGAACCATCTGAAGAAAAGGAAGAGAAAGAAGCTGATAAAGATGAGGAAACAAAATCGAATGAGGAAAAGGAAGAAAATTCTGCAGATACTGAAAAAGAAAGTGCTGCCGATGACAGTGAGAAATAACATTTGCCATAATTTTCGTTCTAATTTATTGTGTACTGTTCCATTATTCTGATTGTTCACGATTGTACATTATCGTATCAAGTCTCCTAACATTTATCGTGAAACCTTAAATGTATATATTGTGCAGCTCATTCCTCGAGAAAACTATGTAAATAAGACTGTTTTCCACCTGTTAAAAATGTAATATTAACAATGAAAGCACTTTTTAGACTTTCAAGAATTGCATGTATAAAAAGCTACCAGACTGCTTTACTAAATTTTAAATGTTCTTATTTATGCTTAATGTTCAGAAGTTCGTCTTAGATTCGTCTAATGTTCACTTTTTTAAATGTGTAAATGTTTATTGTATTAAAATTTTAAGATTATTCAAAATTTTTCTGACTTGCGTACATTACTTTAAAGTATAAACACGGAGTGGAAAGACTTGAGTATCAGAACAAAATTTTAATTTATCTTTATGCTGTTATAAAATGCGACTAATTAGATTATATGAATGCGTCATTACTAAGCTAACAGTTAATAAATGTAAAGATCAGTCCATAGAAACTCTTATTTTACAGTTGTCCAACAGGAATATTGAGTGAAAAAATTTATTTGTATATCTTAGAGCTAGAACTTTGTTATTTTTTTAGCTTATTACAAGAGTGGCTTATCTTGAGATTCCTAGAATCTATGTCACAGCAGCATTTTAGTCCCGTTATCTTTTAGTTTAGTGTCCAATTCCAACAAAGAATTTGACGCAGCATAGCTGTATCACTTTTGTGACATTAAACCACACGTTTAATACAGTCAAATTTAAAAGTGCCTCAAAACTAAAATATAAAGTTCAGAATTTTTGATCTTATACCTTCAGTAACGTTTAGGCAGTTGTAAGACAATTTATTTAAATACCAGCTATTAGTTTTATTAATTATCAGTCTGCTTTGCTTATAATGATTTCGTAAGAGATTCCACCCAAAAACTTAGTTGTGAATTCGGGTTCTTAAAACACAAACTGTGCCGCAAAATGTTCAAATTATAGCTTTTTAGTTTACCCATAAATTTTTACTGATTATACTTTAACATGAAGACCAAACTATTTTAACCCCTTTGTCACTGTTCCATATTTGCAAGAAAACACAAAGCATATGTATTTTAGAGTTTTGAAGGCTTATTCCGATTCAGGAAATTATTGCAATCTTGTTGCAACTCTTAACACTAAATATACAAACACTTTACAGCTTGCAATAACCGGTCTTTCGACCAGTTATGGTATGCTTAGTGTAAAACTCGGTGCTAAACTTTCTACTACTTGACAGTACTGAGGTGACTTTTAGAATTTAAGTTCAATTTGTCGCTAATAAAGTTGCAAAAAGTTTAAAAAATATTACTCATTTGAATGAACTGAAATTTTGAATTTTATTTTCAAATCAATGTTTAGCCATTTTGCATAATATTTTAAATTCAGCAAACCATTTTTTTCTTAAATTTTAATTGTATAGTTGCATAAGCTTTTAAGCACAAAAAATTTTTATTTATAAGCAATTTTTTTTCTAAACGTGAGATTGGGATACAAAGGGTTAACAGAATGGCTGGATTTTTTAAAAATAGTATTCATCTGTAATAAACTCCAGTTTGCTAAGATTATTTTCAAACTTAACCCCCAAGCTCAATCCCGTATTAGGTGCAATTGCGTATTTACATATTGGTTTTTAGAATTTAATTTTCTTCTGATTTTCAATTCGAATAAGGCATTTATTTTGAAACATACTATAATAACAGGAGAAGCACTTAGAATCTTTAAACAAAATTTATCTTAAAATGAGTTTCCTTTTTCATCTGCCCTAGAAAGGGTTTAAATATAGATTCAAATGCAGTCATGAAGTTTCCTTTATTTATGAAACTTCATTTTACTTCTGCATCAAACTTTGACAAAACTGGATTTTATCTTTCGAGTGTAGTATTTCGCGTAGCTTATCCATTCGGTTTCTTTTGCCATTCCATATTTCATAAAACATGGCAGCACTGCTTTTCTTGTACAGTTTTTATTGAATTTCCAAGTGAATCAATATTTTCCTATGAATTTTTGTTAAAAGGCTGTATTTTGAAGGCTTCGTTGTAATATGAAATAATGCTTTTTCGCGAATAATATATTTTTATAACTGCTGTGAATTTGCATGTGTTACTCATGAATGTTAGGTCAAATTTAGCCTATCTAAAGCCAGCGCTGTTACGCTGTTCGCCAAACGTCAATTAAAAGAAAAGCCACAGTTTTGTGAAAATGAAAAGCGTTTGTGGTCAAATTTGTTTTATTTAAAAACTTACTCCAGTGCTGCATTACCTGGGCTCATAAAAATTTGCGAAAACAAAATAAAACTGATTTTGATAATTTTCATCTTGGTGGGAAAATTTCACCAAATTGGTGAAAGTAACTTTTATAATTAAGTCGTTGGCCTGTTTTAAGGCCCAGATAATTCTTCATAGCAAGATTATACATTTAGTTTAAAATTTTCGCATTGCTTAAAGTGTGCCTAAACAATGGCTTTTTTATTTTTCTTGGAGACAGATCCATAAAACAGTGTTCAGAAATTGATGACTTAAGGGAAAGACCTTGATTTTGGGGCTCTGATATTTTTTCTAAATTATGAAAAATCTTTGTCAAATCTAAGAAGGAAAGCAATTGAATTAAAACAAAAAGCTCGAGTTTTCAACGTGAATTTCTAGCGCAGCATGTCCCTTTTGTGAACTTTGTGCTATTATACCCTACATTCAATTTAAAGTAAATTTATTTATCGCATGATTTACTTTTTTCATTAATCTTGATATTTTGGAAGCGAGGGAACCATCCTCTCTGCGGAAGATCAAAACTTGGATGGCACGTCTTCGGATCATCCTCGGATATGTTTCCCAGACCATTTTCAACAGCCCACGGTGCAGCTCCTACCTAGGTATCTTTAGTTTTACTTAATATACACTACTAGCCATTAAAATTGCTACTCCAGGAAGGCAACACACCACGAACGTGAAATTTACTGGACGGATAAAGCATGTTGAGGTATGCAAATGATTAGCTTCTCAGCTCATTCACGCAAAGCAGGCGACGGTAGCGACACCTACAATGTGTATGAAAGAGGAGATTTGACTGTACGTTTCTCATACAGAAATTGAATTTGAGCGTTGTTCTTTGGTAAAAAAAGTTTTTGTTATGGCACGTATAAGAAGGAGAAATGCCTGCCAGCATGCGTCGGAGTTTGATCGAGGTCGAATTGTGGCCTACCGGCATTGCGGTTTATCATACCGAAGTGTTGCTGCTCCCATTGGTTAACCTTAAAATCCCATGACAGTTAGAATATAGAATCGATGGGTTCATGACGGTCATATGGAACGTCGTGAATGATCTCAGCGGCCCCCCATCACTAACAGTCGAGAAGACTGGCATGTTATCCACATGACCTTAAGGGATCGTACGGCTACGTCACGAACCCTGATTTAACAAATAGGGTCATTTACAAGACAAGTGTCTGCGCGAACAGTTCGACGACGTTTGCAGCAACATGGATTGTCAGCACTGCGACCATGGCTTCGGCTATCCTTGACGCTGCATCACAGGCAGGAGAGCCACCAATGATGTGATCAACAACGAGCTTGGACGCATGAATGGCATGACGTCGTCTTTTTGCATGAATCCAGGTTCTGTACGCAGCATCATGATATCTGCATCCGTGTTTGGCGACATCGTAGAGAACGCCCATTGGCAGCTTACATTCGACATCGTCATACTGGCCCATCACCTGAAATAATGGTATGGGGTGCCACGGATACACGACTCGATCCCCTTTTGTTCGCATTGCTGGCACTTTAAACAGCAGTCGTTACGTTTCTGGTGTGTTAGGGCCAATTGCTCTACCTTATCTTCGAGGCCTCCGTAGCGCTACGTTTCAGTAGGGCAATGAAAAACCGCATGTTGCCAACCCTGTCCTGACCTTCCTTGACTCAGAACACGTTCGCCTGTTGCCCTGGCCATCACGTTCTCCTGATCTTTCACCAATTGAAAACGTCTGGTCAATGGTTGCCGAACGACTGGCATGCCACCACTCGTCAGTCACTGCAGTAGCATAATGTTGAAGCTGCATGGAATTCTGTATTTGTCCCTGCTTTCCAATCTCTGTTCGACTCGATGCCGAAGAGAATAACTGCTGTTATTACTGCCAGGGGAGGCTGCTCTGAGTACTGATTTCTCAGGATCTATACATCCAAATATCCTGAAAATTTAATTACTTGTTCTTCCAACTACGATGTATGTGCACAATAAATATCATTCTGTTATTTGCATTCTTTCCTGGTGTAGTAATTTTAATGGCCACGTAGAAATTGTCATGCATATAACAAAAAATACGCTAATCAGGAACGATACATTTAAATACGAAATCAGATACAAAAACTTACTTTCTCTGAAATAACATAAATTTTTTTGTTGGCAGATGCTAATATTTGACCTTTGGAACATGGAGGGGGGAGTCGCCATCTGAAAAATGATTTTAGCAGTTTGGTCAGGAGAGCAATGAAAAATTTAGATCCCTTTAAATGATAATTTTGCTTCTTCTTTTTTTTTTTTTTTTTTTTTTTTTTTNTTTTTTTTTTTTTTTTTTTTTTTTTTTTTTTTTTTTTTTGTATTTCACCATATCTCAAAAACGTTTCAAGGGAATTGTTCAGTTTTTCCGTTATAAAAGCCGGTTTCAGTTATAAAATCAGTCAATACAAAGATATTTCCATACAAAAAATTAATTTTTGATTATTACTAGATTAAAAAAGTGAATTTTTTTTATATTAAATTTAACCATAGTCGAAAACTTTTAATCGCTAGGTATAGAAATTTCGACATGATTTTAAAGAGTGACTTATTGCAAAATTTGAGTTCAATCTGTCACTTACTTTCTGAGTTGTCAAATTTTCAAAAAAGTCTTATATTTAAAATTCGATTTCCCAAGACAAACATTATTCGACTGATTTCGCTCAAATTTCGCATTTTATTCAAATTAAATTCTGTAAAATGACTTAAACATTTGTTTAAATTTTAATTAAAAGCTTTTTTTATTAAATAATATAATAAAAAATTAATGAATTATATTAAACTATTTTTTCCACGGAATTAATTATCTTTGAATAAACGAATTTGAATATGTATGCAAAATTTTTTAGATTCGCTCAAAAAGTTTTCGAGACGTGAAAAAATGCGCAAAAAGTGAAATTAATATTAAGGGGTCCAAACTTTCATCCGTTCTTCTGATCAAGCATTTCGGACCATATTTTCCCCGTTTCACCAGCACTCCCCCCATTTTGAGAACAGGAATCCGATCAGGTAAAATTTCAAAATAATAGATAAAGCTCAAAAA